GGACCTTTATTATTTATAATATTTATTAATGATATATCTGATTCTTTCCCAGACAATTGTGTTTCCTTATATGCAGATGATCCCGCTTTGTCAATGTCATCTAGGAGTCTGGAAAATCTCACGTCCTTGGCCAGTAGGGCAGTAAGTGGTATGACCCGGTATTGTGAGCGTAACGGTATTTGTTTGAACGGGACAAAGACTTGACGATGTTGTTTAGGGATTTGAACAAGAGCTTATTGGTTAGTATTTGGGTTTGTTCATAGACAGTAATTGGCCCTGGACAGGCCAAATTGACTACGTATTAAACAAAATGGCTACGGATACTTTTGTTATTTGGCGACTGCGGTCGAGTGTGGATCTTCAGCTTTTACTATTGTATTATTTCGGATATGTTCAATCTTGCTAATTGCTAAATTAAAGCTCATTTTGAATAAGAATGTTTTTTATTCTATCGATGAATACTTTGATTGTAGTAATGCCGATGTCTCAGTGCGATATATATATGTACGTGTTTGTTTTTAAAATGTGTATTTTAGTGTTATAATGTATTGTTTCACTTGTTGACATTATCCGATACTTTTGGAAAATGGAAATAAACATTATCATTATCGCCATTATCAGGTTTATAATTTTTAATTGCTTATATTTGTTACATAAAACTACGAAATTATTTGTTTTTGTGAACTGTGGTTCTTTTAATAGCATAAACTTACTTTTATGACCAATATTTTTCAAATTGAAATTTTGTCCAAGTTCCCTCTTCGGCGGTGGGTAGTTATTAATCTGTAGATTGACATGCTTTCCTAACCTCACAATTTTTCGTTTCAGTTCGTTCGCTAGTAATTATCGTTATTAAAAATGAATTTAACGTACATATAATTGACCACGAAAATTTTTTGAAACTTATAAATGTTGTAATGAGTACTAGATTCCACAGACTTTTACGGAACATCCTGATCATTTTATAAAATGAAATGACAAAGAATTTTGGTAACGTTTTCGTATTACAAAAAATACAGTAGGTAAAACTTTTTAGTTTTTAATCCATTTCAATTGTATTAATTGAGTTACATTTTTTATTAGAAGTCATCAGCTTCAAAAATGGTACTTTTAATGTTTTTTTTTTTTTTAAACAGGGACATTTTTCTGGTTTAGACAAATCAACAGCAAATAGTATCCCGAGTGATTGCAGAGACACTTATATTTCGTTATCTGCGGAGTTTGACTGAGAATGCAATCTCAATTGTAGCCCTTTGTTCAAGATCTGGAAATATATTCGGATGATGTCATTCCAGTAAATGGAGAAGTCGCTATTGTATAAGGAAATATCGTTGCGCCTGTGATACAACCCCGGGTTCGAAAATATAAATAACCGAGTATTTTCAGCGAGTTTACCAAACGTGTTGTATATTATACCTTTTCTACGACCGTCACGAAAAAATCACAATTTAACAAATCAAAAATAATAGCAGATAAACAACACGAATACAGTCACTGACATGACCGTCAGAATTGACAAACGTCAAAATTCAAACCTTGCGGTAAAATCGCCGAAAACATCCGATTGCTCCCGAACCCGTGCGGTAAAATCCCGGAAATGTCCGAAATGACTCGGATCCGTGGAAAACGAGAGATGGTAGCAGATGACCGGATGTTCGAACGGCGTTCGGGTTCTGGTGGGGAGGTGGTTTGTAACAGCCGATCTGCCAACAGCTGAGGCGTGATGTATACGTGATCGAGTGACAGAATGTTTAATATCAAGTTCGAAACTTATTTAAAATGATTTATCTTTCTAAGTTAACATTTTATTACATTTTTTTAAACAGGAATTCAGTTAATTGTGGGTAGTAAATTTTATGTGATTCTCATGTTGCTAGGGGTAGGGGTAGGGGCTCATAAAAGCGTGTCACCCCATTGCTCACTCGCAACTGGCTAGGACAAATTGCACAGTGAATTCAGTCAGCTTGTAATCTACCTATTTTGCTAAAAAATGAATTTTGTTGTGGACGTTGTCATTCATCAAATTTCGATAAATTGGATTTGATAGACGTCAACTTTTACCTTAACAGGTGGCTGTAATATAACAAGCAAAACAAAATATACTCACGGGTTAATAAAAAATATTCTTTTGAATGCGGGTTGCAGCACCCTTCGATAAAATTAAACTATATTTTTTTGGAAACAATTAATCGTATGCATAGGAATTCATGTGTCCTGTGCGGATTTGGCACCCGATGTACGTCCTGTATATTTAAAACAAACACCCATTTCCTAATTCGATATAAAAATCACGTCATTCAAACGAAACAGCTATTTGACATTCGACCGTCTGCTACATCCAGATCCCGCGCGAAACGAGACTTACCGAATCGGAACCGAACGCCGTTCGGGATTTTCGACCATTTGTGGTGTTCCCACGAAACTCACGTGGGTAAAATGGCGCTTCACGCACGCTAGATCGGTTTGTAATTAGGCATCTTACAGACCGGAGTAGAAAAACATAATTTGATTGCAGTTTTGTGAAACTGAATTTCATAGAACTTGACATCAGAATTATTTTATGCAACGTGCCCTGACACTAAAAGAAAGTAGGGAAATTATATGAAGCCGTTAAGATTTTTGAGATTTTTTGAAACGTGAAATCACTAACAAAAAAGATTTTTAATATTAATATCTCTGAAACGGAGCAATACGAACTATTTCTTTCATACACTTGCGTAAACCGTCAAGGTCAGTTCTGGTTTTAGTAGATATCATATGTGAGATTTCCTGATGATGTCTGGGCGTTTCTCTTGGTCGCCTGCAGGTTTCTAGACATCTTATCGATAACTTGTCCGGTCCTCCATCACATACAATGTCACTGGTATACCTCGCAGGTGTTCCCGAGCCACCTGCGATTCTCATATCGATTAAGATGACTAAGTGTCGATCTCGAAAAAAATAGTTAATTCGACAATTATCGCAGCGATCGATTATGATTTGAAGAAAAAAAAAAGCACCTACGAAACTAAGCATTATTTTTAGAACGTTATGTTATTATTATGTCATCGAGCGATAGTTAAAGGCAGCACGGCGGTGTCTTTCATCAAGCGGGTTCGCAAAATCGCCGAAAAATCGCTAAGGCGCTTCGTAAAATGCAAAATGTCGCTGACGAATGCACGTTGCAGTTCCGGCGAATGTCCATATAGAGAAGACAACGCGAGAGCACCGTGACTGGGACGCAAGTGCGTGGTGAATAACCAGTTCGTACACCCAACATACAAATAACCCGATGACGCTAATAAATCTGGTGTAAAACAAGTCCCTCGTCGACGACGTCTAAACGTTGCCCGCACTGCGACCGCGTGTTACTGTTTGGATTTAGTTTTTTCTTCGGTTTGTTTGGTTTTCCCTAAAGGAAAATGTTGGTTAATCATCCCCGTCGACCTTGGTCGCTGGTGCTGGCAGCTGTGACAGAATTTTCAGAGTAAATCATCGTCCATATGTCCATCGTCTATAATATCTGCGAATACTGTTGCTACTTTAGACGATTTTCGTCTAATTGTCTTCTTGTCTGTTCTCATTTTATCGTGAGTCAGCAGATGTTTGCATTTCTGTGACCTAACATTTGGTCAGTAATTTGATTATTAATTTTTCTTCCACAAATTTATTATTATTATTATTTCGAAATCTTCTTTATTCTTCCTGTATCGGATGTTGATACATCAAAGCTTAACATTAACTGGCTAGCAGAGAGCTAAAAGATGTCTGTCTCGGATGACTGATTCCCATAGTGGTGATAGGTAAAGACCTGAGTCTCGGTTAAGATTGTTTGGTTGCTGATAAATTTCTATAAATTGTATTTTGTAGAAGAAGAATTTGATGTCCGGTCAGCCTAGCTGATATTTTTCGTCCGCCCGCTAGAATGTATTCTTTTCCGCAATTTTTGGACAAGTGGTAAATCTGGTTTTGACATTATATTCCAACAAATCAGAGATTCTAAACGGCATTTGACTCACGAGTTTATTTGACACGAGCGGAGCGAGCGAGTTTAGTTTTTGGGTACATCTTCGTAAAACAACACGAATACATTCAGTGACATGACCGTGTCAGAATTCAAAGCGTGGGAAATATCTCCGAAAACATCCGATTGCTCCCAAATTCGTGCGGTAAAATCCCGGAAATGTCCGAAGTGGCTCGGATTCGTGGGAAAGGAAACTGAAGTGGTAAAGTGACGCTTTCCGCATGCTACATCGGTGGGTAATTAGGTATTTTACAGACGGGACTAGAAAAACAATCTTAGCCACGACTCAGGTCCTTTATGGGATTGAGGCATGTACTTTTCTACCTTTTCAATCTTTTTTTTTTGTTTTTTTTTTTCTTGTAGCAATTCCTATTTTATATATTACATCAGGCTAAGATGGCTTCGACAGTTAACGGTAGCTTCCATCCATAAGGGAAGTCGATCCTTATCTCCGAATTTGTTATGGATATATCTTCTGGCTTTATGTGGCGGAAAAATTACTCACATCTGTTGACGCGTTGCCTTGCGTTTGTTAGTTACCTTTCTTTTAGGTTCTCCTCCTCTCTGGGAATTTAATCGCTGCGTTTATCAATATTTTTCAACTGGCGTGTGGTCTTTTTCGACTCCGATGGCTTTCTACCTAACTTTTTTTGTTCACTCGGACTTAGTTTTTCTACTTGTGTTCTACCTTTCTCGTGGTATTCCAATTTTTATTGTATTTAAAAGTGTCTCGTATGTTCTTATTTTTTTATATATGTAACTTTGTTTATTCCGTTTTTCTGAATTATTTTCTATTTTTTTGTGTTCACTCATTCAGTGATTAATTTTCATAATGACCCGCTGCAAAAATTGGTCAGAACGCGATCTTGGGAAACAAGAAATGCTCGAACTGAATCCGAGGATAGGCGGTTCGCAAATCGGAAGAGGTGGGGACGAGGACTTTAAATGAAACGCCACCGTTAAAAACAAAAAACATCTGTACTCGACGGAGTATCACAGTCGAAAATTTAAAAAAAAATACACTAATTAAAAAAAAATGCGTCGGTCAGCCCGCCCGACTGGTCCGTACAAAATATAATATCAATTCGTTGTTTCTAATAATACTTTTCTCTACACAATGTATATACACAAAAAATAACTTACATACAATAAATATAATAATAATATATTTAAAAAATATAATAAATAATTTCGAGTGAAATAAATTAAAAAAAAAAGGTCTCGCGTAAGTAACGGGTTCCTCAGTTGGACAGGTGAGTGAACACCCCGATGGTGTACTCCAGCACGTTGATGCACTCCCTGAGGATGATCCAGTCGCGTTCTGACCTTCTGCTTCTGCTCTCGCAAATCTCCCTGTACATCTGCGGCATCGCGTCCCTGCCGACGTCCCTCTCGATCTTCAGGTTGTGATCGATGATGCTCATCTGGAGCTCGCAGAGCACGTTGTGAACGTGGTTGTTGATTTCGGTGAAGTTCTCCTTCATCGAATCTATCGGGTCGTTTTCAAAGTCCGAAGTTACCTGCTCGAGACCCACGGCGATGGTCTGCAGGTACTTGTACGACTCCAAAAGCGCTCGCTGCCACTACAACGGAAGAATTAACGTTTAGAACACGAGGTCCCAGACGATCGGTAGGTGCCAACTCACCGGCAGCGCCTTAGCGTGGTCTCTGAAGGCTCTCTCGTCTCTCGTATCGGGCAGCTGAGGTAGCCAGTTGTATTTCTGATCGCGGAGCAGGTTCTCCACCTGAGCGGCGCCCTGCTTGAAGATCACCTTCGCCTGCAACAACGACGACGTTAATTACGGATGGGAGTTTTGGGGCACCCCGTCGAAAGGTTACGCTCTGACGCGTCGCTTTAGCCTTCTGGGGCTTCGCGGTGATCGAGATGATCGACGGATATCGACGTAAAACGGAACAGGTGCACCGAACGCTCGCCAATCGGGGTCAATCGGTTCGTAATATTTCGCAAAATGTCGCAACTCGCGCGCTCTGATCACGCCTACTCGATTTCGCTTGGGCGACATACTGTCTGGCGAACCTGAAGGTCAAGCCGTTGCCTATGAACGCGCGGTACGCAAAACAGCACTAGATTCCGCGAAAACGGCGATTTTTTTATCGCGCCGACGTTGCCGAACTTTCGCGGAAATACCGAGACCCGGGGATTCTCTCTGTCTCTGCTATCTCTGATATGTGAACTCGTGGATGGGAGGATCTGGTCTTGAGGTATCCGAGAAATTGATGTTTGGCTGGCTCTTTGGCTGCACAATGTGCTCGAGGTTTGAAGCGACTTATAGCGGAGATTTGAGAACGTCGGCTATCGGTGACACGCGCAGAAGTCTGCGTGTTGAGCTCAGGAACCGGTTGGGAAATGATTCGAAAAAATTCGGCAGATGATTTTTACCTGATTGCATGAGTATTTTCCACGAGACCCAAACCTTCATGCTGCAAATAGAATCTCTTCGAAAGGACTTTGATTTTATAGACCCAATTCAGGTTCTGGGCGATTACATCAAGAAACCAAAACAGGGCAAGCGGCGCAAAGTGAAAAGTTTAAGAAATGTGTAGAACCAGAAAAGAACCCTGAAGACTCGAAAATTTAGATCTATGTGATGACGAGCGTGCGTATCGTCGAAAAACGGTTCCGATCAGAGTCACGTGGTCGCGGGATTGCAGCCACATCCGCCGCCGTCGACCGCCACATCGGAAGTGACGGTCCGAGACATCCGATAGAAGAAGAGGGCGGCCCCCGGGGTCCCGAACGCGCGCGCCCGACAATGACGGAAAATATGATAGTGTGTAATCGGACGCTATTTCCAACGTGACGTCGGCACGCCACGCATACTGATGAAGATCGCGAACGCGCGCGCGCGGCGTTGCCAGCTTTATTACTTTCCTTTTTTAATCGTTTGACGGCGCGGCGATCGCCAAAAGAAAAAGGGACGCCACAAAATAGTAAAAATGTATGTAAAAATCGTTACTGGATGCGTATAAGCCGTAATTTATTACAAAACGTTATATATTTTCGGTTAATTGCATTGTTGGTACGCAATTTCCCGCAATGACCCTATTTTGTAAAATGTCAATGGACATCCTTTTTCCTACTAATATTTAAAAATATATGCTTTGTATTTGAAATACATCTTATGTATTAAATATTTTTTAAAACCTATTAACAAGCCTAATAAAATTATGTTCTATTAAGAAACAAATCAAAATTTGTGAGTTCTGGATATTGGTATACCCTGTCGCGATTTTCATCGTATTGGCTATTGTTATTGGGGAAAGCCAATGACAAAAAATTTTTTGCTTACATTGCTTTCTTTCTGATATACTTCTTGTAGCAGTGTTGAATAATCGTTTTTACTGAGCGTTTCGAAATTTTTTTTACGAGAATATTACAATCATTTGTCGTTTGATGCAAAACGGTTTGTGAAAAATGTGTATGAAACTGTAATCGGTAGGAAAAGCTTTAAAAGAAACCTGCCTACTTACAAAAACGCCAATATCGTTGATAAGGGATATTATTAATAGTGGAGAATTGAAAAAAAGGGATAAACGTAGTGATTCTCAAACTCACCGTATAGACAATAGTGATCGGTACCTAATAAGAAGGAAAATATCTTGTCTTTATCGAAGCGAAGTTGAAGAAGATGAAACCAATATTGCCACCTTCCATAGAGTTGTTTGTAAGATGAGATTTAAGTACCGCCAAAGGAAAGTAGTAATTTAATGGCTCAGATTACTCACTTGGATACTTAACTGTGTTTATCTGTGTTTAAGTGTGTAGCATAATTAGAATCTAGACTATTGTTTTTAAACGCTCTTTTATGTTCCTCAATGCGTTTCTTGAAAGATCTACCTGTTTGTCCAATATAAACTTTTGGTCACTTCGTTTTATTGTTTTTTTTTTTAAATATTATGTTGTTAGTTCTGAAAGCTATTTTTAAACCATATTTTGACAAATGTTTTGAAACTTTTTCACTGCGTTCTCCTATGTATGTAGTTGTTTTAAATTGTTCGTATTTTGTATTACGTTTCGGATAAATAGAGTTTGCTATTGTCTGGATTTAATTTTTGTTTATAATTTTATCGATAATGGACGGATTGTAGCCGTTGTTCAGTACAATTTGTTTAATGATATTAAGTTCTTTGTTGTAATTTTATTATTAAGAAGTATGTGCATAAAAGAGTGAAATGCAGCCATTTTGTGTTTATAAGGTTGATTGGGCTGTGGGTGTGTGAAGGTTTACGGTAAATGGAAAAATCTAATTTGTCTTGCTTTTTCGTAATAGTTAAGTCTAAAAAATTAACAGAGTTATCCGGTTCAATCTCGATAGTGAATTTTATACGACTATGTAATGAGTTAATGTAATTTAAAAAAGAATTCAATTGTCTGTCCGTTCCAACAAAGCATGGAAAGACATCATCCACGTATCTATACCACCATAGAAAACTTTTACTTAAAGCATGTTCTAGTCTGATATTTTCTAAATTATCCATAAAAATCTCGGCTAACAAAGAACTAAGTGGTTTTCCTATAATCAAACCTTCCTTAGAGATGTAAATCTGTCCATTAAATTCAAAATAATTTTGCTCTAAAGATACTATTAAGCAATCTAATAAATCTTGTTTCAACAATGGGTTAACCTGTTTCCGAGTGTAGGTGAAATCTACTAAATCTCTCACATCCAGAGGTGGAATACTGGGAAATAAGTTTTGTACACCAAAAGACAATAGTGTTGCGTTAGAAGGGATTTTGATATCTTTAATTTTGTTGATTAATTCAAAAGAATTTTTTATTGCAAATTTTGGTATAAAATCTGTGTGGAACATTAAAATGTTTACTAATTTTGGTGAGAGTTTAACTGCTGGAGCCGTTACATAAGACACGACTTGTCTAATTCTTAATTCATAATTGTTAAAAAATACTTGCCTTTGTCACTAAATAGTGTGGAGTTAGTAATTACTTCCTTGACTTGTCTTTGAACTAACTCGGTAGGATCGTGTTTCATACATTGGAAAAGTTCTGGTGTAAGAAAATTGTTGGTTTTTGAAATATATTCTGGGAGATCGATAGCTATGACTGTCTTCCCTTTATCTGCACGTGTAAATATTATGTTACTTTCAGAAGCTTTGTTTTTGATAGTTTTTACTAGTGACATTTGAGAAATTTCTTGGTGTTTGTTGTTATTTATTAATTGAGGGTTTATTATATTCGCTAATACATGTTTGTTTAAATTAGAATCGTAAATGTCTAATTCTCTATTGATGTTCGAGTGCTGTAAGTTAAAGTTGAAACAACCATTTTCCAGAAATTCAATTTCATTTTTAGAAAATGATGTGTCTGTTAAGTTTATGAACCTGTTGTAAAATTGGTGATCGGTATACTTTGTAATAACTAGATTGCTGGCTTGCTAGCTAACTTTAGCTTTTGTCTAAGAAACTTTTTATGAATGATAGATGAAATGTCTGTTCGAAATAATCAAATGTGTCAAATTCTAGGGGATTAAGTCTATGAGACAATTCAGAATGTATTACCTTTACATAAATGTTGTTTGTATCTCGTTTTATATACTCGTGTACTTAATAAAGGATGTATTGTATGATATTTTCCAAATTATCCATAAAAATCTCGGCTAACAAAGGACTAAGAGGGTTTCCCATAATCAAACCAAAATATTATTCCCACTTTAGGTCCCGGTGTTATACATTTGATAAGTACAGCACATTATAAAAATTGAGGAATTTTACACAACATAAATCCTATTATAATTAAACTTAATGACGACTCTGGACTCTAGAATGAAAATGTAGTTCTAGGTATAAATTTATTGCATCTATGTCATTGTTTTTTCTTGGTGTAATTTAATAAGATTATATTCACCTAAAGAAACAAAACAAGTTATATTATTACCAAAACCTTTGAGAGTCCCGTTCCTAATATTCTGTCCTTTAATACCTACCGGACCCGAGTTTCATTGCCGTCGTGAATTTAAAAATTAATACATTTAACCAGATTTCACTGCCAATGCAGTTAACACTTATTTGTTGGCATTTGCAGAAGATTTGCTTTCCGTTTCTGTGGCCATTTCTTAAAATATTACTTTCTGGGAGTAAATGTACAAAAGTGCAAACCAGCAGTTTATATGTTTATAATTTGATTGAATATTTAGTTTTTTTTGCGGGGTTGTTACCAACTGGCCTGAGATGTACCTTTTAGGATACCAAATACGCAATTGTTTTGAGTCCTGTCTTGAACAAAGTTTACATGAACAGACGGATCTTCAGGTTAGATAGTTTAAATTTTAAGCTAGTACATAGTACACTGCGGTCACAGAAGCTCTTCGTTTAAAGTCGGACGGATTTATTGCACGAGGCGGCAACACCGCTAATGTACCCGAAGGAATTTCGTCTTCGTGAATGGAACGTGCGGTTTGGTGCGTCTTTTTTTTTTCTACATCACAATCGCGCCGAATTGACGAGTTCACCGACACCCTTGTAGAAACGTAACCCCCGCCCGATTAAATAGAGCGAATTTTTCGCTTTTGATGACTACTAACGGGAAAATTCGCACCAAATTCATTAGTAATTGGGAAATGTCGACGCTAAACAACACGGATAAATGGGTGCCATTGTTAGCACCAGACTTCAACCAATCACACGTGCTTTTCGCTAAAGGTTCGCCCACGTGGGCTTGATATCGATCTCCTGTGACGTTATTATTAGGATTTTCCCTGGAAAGTGTGACGTCGCTTTGGCAAAGTAAACCGAAAAACACGTAATTTTCGGAAAACCCCATTCATAAGCGGCGAGTTCTTGGCAACCGTCCCATTCGTTGAAATATAATCGTATTAAAAATAATAATTTTTGATTTCTTATAGACATTGTTTTTCTATAAACTGCAACTACAGGCAAATCAAATAAAAAATACCAGTAATGTTAAATTAATAATAAAACAAATCGTCTTTCTAGAAATTTTTACGGAAATGATTACTTAATTGTAAAATCGTACTAGAGGCTGCTGTTACAGATAGACAAATTAATTAATAATAACAACAATAATTAATAAATTGTGAAAGAATTCAATTATTTAATTAATTTATTAAACTAACAATTAGACATATATACTACAGACTATATAAAACAGACATATATAATACAGTAAATGCGAAAAGTGTCACTGTAATAATTGCAATATTAAATAAATAATTAACTTCTTCTGTTAAAGATAAATTAATTGTATAATGGTTTTAATTAAAATCATTAATTAAATATAAAATATTTCATTCTTTTTTGTAATATTAATATAATTGTAATAATAAACTATGTTACATGTTTCATGTTACAATTTATAATATTAAAAATAATTAAATTAATTAAATGTCCGACGCGATTTTTATAGTTTTATACCAGAAGCGTGGCAATTGCTACCATAGAGTTTAATAAAAATCACTAATGAAATATTAAAATTTCCTGATCATTTTCTTAATATTAGACTAATTAAATAAGTATGACGTCACTTTAGGACGAATTATGTTACAATTACAATATTAAAAATAACTAAATTAATTAAGCATGTCCGACGCGGTTTTTGTAGTTTTATAACAGAAGCGTGCCAACTGCTGCCATAAGTTTTAATCAAAATCATTAATTAAATATAAAAGATTTGCTTTTCATTTTTGTAATGTTAAACTAATTAAATAAGTATGACGCCACTTTTGTACATATTAGGTTTGTCTATGTTACATGTTTCATGTTAGAATTATAATACTAAATATAATTAAATTAATTAAATATGTCGGACGCGATTTTTGCAGTTTTATAATAGAAGTGTATCAATTGCTACCACAGGTAGACGATTTATTATATAGTAGGTAATAAGAAAAATAATTAATAATGGTTGACATTAAATAATAATTAAACAAAGAAATCCGTCATCTCATTTCTGGAAATTGTTTACGGGACATATTTAGGAAAAGTTAGTAATAAAATATGAGTAATTAAATAAATATGATTATAAAGAATAAAATTATTGCTGCAATTTGGGAGCAAAAGTTATAATTAAGAAGTAAAAGCATTAGTGTAATATTAAATTAATAATTAGAAACTGAATTAAATATAAAAAATTATCTCCTCCTAAAGACGTTCAATTATTAATTAATTAAATATAACACGTTTGTTACTGTGACAGATAGATATTTAATTACATATCAAATTAAATATTTAATTAAATAATCCGTTCTTATTGTGCGTTTCTATGTACGCAGTTCTATGTACATGTTAATAACAAAAATAACACATTTAACTAAAAAATATTGATTTTAGTTTCACGGGTCTCTGGAAATCGGTTACGCAACAAGTTCGCTAGTCAAACTGCGTAAAGTTTAAGTTCTACTTACGTAATTTTCCTTGAGGTTGTTGGCCAGATCCAGCGTCTGCCTGGCCGACACCACGATAGGGGTGAGAAGAGTGACGTTTAAGTTTTCGACTGGCTGGTCCCGGATTTCTTGGGCGGTGCCGCTCAGATTGCACGGGTTAATCCATCTGGGGCCGTTCTGCGGTTTGTCGCACATCTTTAACGCTAACGGCGCCGGCGAGGAACTTGGGAATGCGAGTAGGGTGAGATACGCGCTCACCACCAGTACGTTTTTTAATTCTGAAACGAAGGAACTTTGGTTACCGACGCTTTTACTGGAAATTTTGAGAACGCGGCGGATTTTTCTAGCGATTTGGACTTGAACAAATACAAAACAAATAAAAGTGCATGTCAAACTGACGGCTCAAAGCATAGTTGCCATTAATCTGTCTATTTCTCCTTTCACTTTTAAGAGATCGCTTGTCAGTTTCATTCGCTCGTGATTAGCGTTAAAGCTCGAGTATTTTTTAAGTTTTCTTCGTACGAGTAAAGGTGTCGATCTCTGTTGAATCTAATGTTTAAATTGTTAAAATATTTTTTTTTTTTGGTATGCTTTCTATTCTGATGATATATTTACTATAAATAGGATTCCATACTATGGATGAGTACTCCTTGCTAAACTCTTTTAAGCTATTTATGACCAACAATTAATTTAAGATATATAAAATTATTTTTTCTTGTAAGTAGTATATATCGACATTTATCAAGATGCAGTCCAGTCCAGTTTGACTTACATATTTAGAGGTCCCGTGACAAGGTCACGGACGGTTACAACGAGGCGATGCGTTTTTTCGGGGTTAAATTAAAAAATAAAGAGAGAGGTGGAATTTGTACTAATATTTTTCAACAAGCCGCTATCTTCCGATCGCCCCTGTATTCCGGGCCATAAAACCGAGGTTCTCACGGTACTTCTTTGGTACCTTATGTTTATAATGTGCACACAAACACACGGGCAAACTTGTACTACGTATTTATATAGCATATTTCGTAGTGGCCGTTCTCAAATATGTCCGCTAGCTCTTCCGACGACATTTTTCATGGTGCCGCGGCCGTGTTTCGCTCGTAAATAACGAATATCGTACCGAAATAATAAAATATTGTATTATATTAAATGCTAAAATCGTTATAATAAACAGCGTCGATGTACATGATAGTCAAAACTAACTTAATTGTCAATCAATGCCTTTTAATCTTTGGAACTCGAAAACGTAGAAAGGAAACCATTTCTAGCGAAAATAGATATGAAACTGTTTTTTAGATCCATATTTATTAACGATTTTTGGAATTATGCATTTTTTTAGACTTCGATAAATTTGTAGAATTTTTCCTAAGCATGTTGATACAAAATATTGAAAAGTAACATCAAAAATGTTTGTTTAATGGTATATTGTAAGTGATGTCTACATGAAACCTTGTATAATATATATATGTTTTATATAGAAACGATTTTGCAGTTTGAGATTGAATTTCGATCATTGGTAACATATTTTAGTGGATTGAGACAGAATCAGCTTATTGAAAATACGTCACAAATACTATATCACGCCACAAGTTTGATAAAGGCAACGTTAATCACGAGTTTTTGACGGAGACTACTCACCAATACTAGTTTATGAGATACCAGTTACGAAACTGCGATTACAAAAATTGAAAAATGGCGAAAATTGTTTTGGCAGTAGATTTATTTATTTATTTATATTTCACAGGCCGTTCCACAGAAGGGCACAATAGATTATGATGATATATTTACTATAAATAGGATTCGAAATTGTGAATGAGTACTCTGGTACAAACCTTTTCATTCTATTATACACAATTATTGGTGATTGATAGTTGTTGAACCCTCTCAAAATGAAGCCCAGATTTCTCAAACAGTTTTTGACAATCGTTTCGATATGAGCCTCCAAGTTTAACTGTGAGTCAAGAACAAGTCCCAAGTCTTTTCCTTGCTTAATTCTTTTCTAAATATGTCAAGATTGCTCTGAAGCTCTAATACACCTAAATGTGAACGAATCTCTTTTTCTACATAAAAATCATATTTTTAAGTTTATAAGAACTGAACGTTTTATTGTGAAAACAGAAAAAGCAGAAAAAAGGACTGTGAATAAATTTCAGCCTCAAAAACTTTGGCAAAATGACATAATTACGGGCGTCTGTAGAATCACCAGACTTTAGAATATTGACCCAGACATTTATTAAAGAGAATGTTAAGAGGCTTCGTCAAAAGTGGTTAATTTTTGAGAAATTTTCAATAGAATTTTCAGTAAAATCCAGATATGACAACACTCCAGTAAAATAGACAAAAAAAAAGGTGAGACATATTTGGAGAATCATTTGCTATAGCACCGCTTTAAGATATTTTTTCAGGCAGTGATTTTGTTTTTTTTTTATTATTAAGAATGTATATTTATTTATACATTTTTTGTAGTCGTCTTAAAATTTTTTCTTGGTTTCTTAGTTCTGAAATGACAATTGATATGCTTTTTTTTAGGTGCGAAACCGTTTTAATATAGCTAATAGGTGCGGCCAATTAGGCTTATTTTTTAATATAGAAAGATGGAACAAGGACGTAAATAATCGCTTTTGAGATATTTGTGATCAAACTTTTACTCAGTTTCTGGATTTGCCTTTCGTTCCCTGTAGAAGCTGCTTAGAAATATATTTATTACCGGTTCTATATTCTATTAAAGGTTCTATAAAAATGTTGTCATATATCTGGGCCGTTGCAAATCAATTTTTCTGTAATATTTAGCTTATGGAACTAAGATGTTGGCCTTGGTTATTTTTTGCCGAAGCATTAACAACGAAACGACCACCCTGTATAAATCGGCGAGCTTTCCATCTTGTACGACGCAAGGCAGTCCATAAAACAAGCCGAGTTTTTACGTTTTTACTGGTGATAATGCACCGTAATTACTATAAACAATCTTTTAGAGTAGGCAATTGTAACGATTTACCACATTTTTGCTAAATCGCCCAGGTGTACTATTTGGTGTGACCGACGACGCAGCGGCGCGCCAAATGTCAACACTACACCAACTAATTTTTAGCATTGTGTTGATAACGACTTGAAAAACGGCGTAGCGGAACTACTGCCAAGCCTTATGGGGTTGTTAGTTAAAAAAAAAATAAAGTTTATCTCCAGAAGTCTTACTCTGTTTGAATTATTGACTAACTTGGAAGGGGATGATGATAATGATAACACCAAATCCAACGATCACTACACTCTACTAGACACTTAACTTCTGGCTAAAACTAAAATTGGTAGTAGTAAAATTGAGTCAAATGAATAGGCTCATGACAACATAAAATTGAAACGAAATGCAATGGCCACTGTAAAAAGTAACATTTACAAATTTTTCCATATAAATGGAGTCGACTATTGCGGCATTTTTGCCTGATTAACTAACAAAATATGTAAAAAACACATTATTGAAAAAATATTATTTTAATATATAATACGATTATATATTATATTATACACCTATAGGCCAAAGAAACTATTTTTGAACAAAAAAATGGTAAAACTGTAATTTGGTTGCCAAAATATGATACATAAAAAAATACGGAATATAAAAACGAACCAGGTCCCTTTCCGAGAGCGGGGAGAGACGGCACTGGCACGCCACTGGTCGAGACCGACGTTAGAATGACAGATCGCGTCTTGCCGTCCAGTCAGTCGCATATTCCCTTTTAATTTAATTACAGTTTTTGCGAGACCGCGGGCAAAACAGAAGTCGGTAACGGTTGTTTTTTTTTTACGACGTCCAGCGCACGGAGTCGCATTTTTCTGCGTTTTATCGCCACAAATTGTCGCGGAAAAATGGAACAAGAAACAGTTTTATGTTGACGCGAATCGTTGGGAAAATCGCGTTGCTTTTTTTTAGCTGTTGCGGAGCGATAGGCAACCGGGGTCTACAATGTTGCGGGCCCCTACCCTAATCGAAAGAAAATACCTCGTTCCAAGGAAAATGCCGCACCATATTAAAAAAGAAAAGGGGGAAAACCAAAAAACCAACAAAAAAAAACACTAATTTTTACTACTAAAACAAATGAATGACGACATGGGTAAAAAGTGGAACATAGTCGATAACACAAGAAAAAATAATTAACAAAAATGTCACTAGAAAATGAAGACAAAATTGGAAATCCAAGGATAAAAGCACATGAAACAAAGACAAGTTTAAAATGGTGCGAAGTTGTACTAATTTGTAAATATAACAAAATTTGGCCATTAGAAAGAAACTTTCCAAAAAAAAAATAAGTCATCACAGTTGAAAAGTTATGAACCTGCTACATTCATATTAAGTCTGCAAAAACAATTGTTTCCAGGCCTAGTCAAAAAATATTTTAAATAACATCTCGCATCTGTAGAATTATAACTATCATAAGATATATTATTATGCGTTTGTGATGTCAATTTACCTATAACCCTCTTCACGGAATACCCGAATACGATACTTAGCAATTCGGGGAATCCCAAAAAAATATCCATTTAGTTTTCAGAACTACGCGATGGCGACGTAACACACAATATAAATAAATAGAAATTTCATGGCATTTAGGAAAAAAATTGACCGTTCAATTCCATAACCCTAGTGGTGCCAACTAAATTTTAGCAAAGCATTCATAGCGGTATTCTTTTTGATTGCATCGCTAATGGACTAAATTTCCTCTAAAAATGAGGATCGCGAAAAACAATTAGCAAAAATAAAGATAAATTTTTAAAAATGTTTAACGTCAAAAAATGTCCTTAACCTAGCCAAAACTGAACAGTGACAGCCAACAATTAATAAATATAATTTTATTTCTAGACCTTTCTCTCTTGTTTTATGTCTAAGTATGATTCTACGACAATATTCGACCACAATCAATGCAATGCCTAAATGGACGTATTGATGAAGTAGAAAATTTATTTTTGTCAATTTCAACAAATTATCACAAGCAGTCTCAATAAAATTGTCTATTTTTTATTGTTATATTGGTAGGTCCGCAAATGCTTGCTTTGCAAGATGAAGGTGTTTCAAGGAGGTATTAAATATTTTAGTTATAAAAAAATGCCTGTTGTCCGGTTTTCTTGAAATTTGACATTAGAATGCTGGAGTCTGGAGCCATCCCAAAGGACCCTTAATAAATAATATCGTCAAAGAGATGTACACTTTATTATTTAAATTATAAAAAATATATTTAAATGTTTATACTTGCATCGTTGACGATATAAAGTATATATATATATATAT